TCCATCCATCCATCCATCCATCCATCCATCCATCCATCCATCCATCCATCCATCCATCCATCCATCCATCATCCATCCATCCATCCATCCATCCATCCATCCATCCATCCATCCATCCATCCATCCATCCATCCATCCATCCATCCATCCATCCATCCATCCCATCCATCCATCCATCCATCCATCCATCCATCCATCCATCCATCCATCCATCCATCCATCCATCCATCCATCCATCCATCCATCCATCCATCCATCCATCCATCCATCCATCCATCCATCCATCCATCCATCCTCCATCCATCCATCCATCCATCCATCCATCCCATCCATCCCCCATCCATCCATCCATCCATCCATCCATCCATCCATCCATCCATCCATCCATCATCCATCCATCCATCCATCATCCATCCATCCATCCATCCATCCATCCATCCATCCATCCATCCATCCATCCATCCATCCATCCATCCATCCATCCATCCATCCATCCATCCATCCATCCATCCATCCATCCATCCATCCATCCATCCATCCATCCATCCATCCATCCATCCATCCATCCATCCATCCATCCATCCATCCATCCCATCCATCCCATCCATCCATCCATCCATCCATCCATCCATCCATCATCCATCCATCCATCCATCCATCCATCCATCCATCCATCCATCCATCCATCCATCCATCCATCCATCCATCCATCCATCCATCCATCCATCCATCCATCCATCCATCCATCCATCCATCCATCCATCCATCCATCCATCCATCCATCCATCCTCCATCCATCCATCCATCCATCCATCCATCCATCCTCCATCCATCCATCCATCCATCCATCCATCCATCTCCATCCATCCATCCATCCATCCATCCATCATCCATCCATCCATCCATCCATCCATCCATCCATCCATCCATCCATCCATCCATCCATCCATCCATCCATCCATCCATCCATCCATCCATCCTCCATCCATCCATCCATCCATCCATCCATCCATCCATCCATCCATCCATCCATCCATCCATCCATCCATCGCCCTAAAGAGGAAGATTATTTCAGTAGTTTGTATGCAGGAAATTGTTCTTCTTGTCGACTCACATATCGTTTACACAATCATGTGAAAATGGCTGCAAACAAGTGTATAATTACACAGCTACATGTCTTTGAAAAGCAGAAGTGGAGCCTCCTACACAACCAACAAGAACACAGTAAGAAGTTTCTGGATAATGAGTCAAGAACAAAGCACTTGTCTTTTCCAGGAAGTGCTTCTGTATGCAGCACATACAGAAGTAAAACCAGCTGACCAAACATGCTGGAACTCTGCTCGGGTTGTAAGGTAACGGGCAATGCCTTATTTTTCAGACACCAAAAAACACAAACTTATTGCCAAAAACCAAATTGTTGTTTTGTTTTTCAGAGACCAAAAAGGAAGTACAAAAATGTTCAAAATATAAATTTTGAGTCATCGTCCCTGTTTACTGCTTCGTGAACTAAACAGCTGCAGTGGGATGTTGTTGCTTTTTCCATCAGCGTTCATGTCAGTTCTGGTTGAAAATTATGTTTCAATCTAAAAAACAACCTTTTCTTTCACGTGCAGAAATTAATCTCCTTTTCTCATGACATCCCAGACAGCTCAGAGTTTCCATGACACTTGTTTTGAACGAAACCGCGTATTTTCTTCATCTCGCAGTACAATAAAAATGTGCAAACATCTCTTTGTGTTTACCAGTAAACTCTCTACGTTCGACTGAACCAAAAATAAACATGTTTTCTAAAATGTTGATGTTGTCACTGCTTTCTAATGTAAAAATATACTGATTGAAAATGGAATGATGATCACTAACAAGGGAGGTGAATTACACAGATTATTTCTTCATCATGGTCCCTGTTGGTGAGCTGGATGTGCTCGGCAGGAAGTGAACTTTACATCTCAAAAGATTACGAATTAGAAGCAGAGCAAATGGTTTGGAGCGTCTCCAGAACGGTTTTCAAAACGTTGAAAAAGTTAATTCTGGTTCTGATGATGATCACAGTTTGTGGCTCATAGGACGGTCTGAGTGTCCGCGCTGACCCCGGTCCACTGCCAAAAGCCCCAACAATGAGCTGAACTGGACCACAGAGCGACGGAAGGAGAATGTGTCCTACTTTGATGAATCATGTTTTTTTTTACATTTCTTAGGCGGAGGATTGAACGTGTTTCCACTTTTTGTTACTTCCAATCAGGGACTATTACTTGACATCACACTGCAAAAAACACAAAAACAATTTTTTCTGGTTTAGTTTTTAGTGTAAATATCTAAACACAAAAGTAGTAAGACAAGTACTAGTTCTACTTGCAGATTATTTAACTTATAACTAAAACTTTTCCATCTGAATTTAGAAATCATTGACTTAAAACAACCTCTTATCTCTTGCAGAAAAGTTAACTGTTAGTTTTTGTCTTATTTCAAATGTACTAAGCAACTAGAGCAAAGACACTTTGTAAGATTTTGCGTTTTTGCATTGCAATTAAAGCAGCGGTGATGTAAAAGCAGGAAGCATTGCCACCTGCAGGTAGGAATCTGCAGTTCCAATATTTTTGTGGCAGAAAATTTGCAAAAAACTCACAATTATGCATGAAAACCTAAAAAAAAACCAGGGATCTATTTCAATTTTCTCGATTGATGTGATTTGGAGTCTAGAGGGCCACATAAACAGGTTTACTGGGCCGGATTTGGCCCCCGGGCCTTGAGTTTGACATCTGTGCAGTGGGGAGAGTTGAAGTAGTTTACATCCTGATCTGGCAAGTTGCTATCAGAGCCCTTCCTGCCATCAGTATCTGCAAAATGAGTGAGTTACATATAATTTCCCTTTGGGATTAATAAGGTATTTTTGAATTCATTAAGTGAATCTATCAGCTGGACTTGTTTCCTTTGGACACCCGTTCCTCTCCCACTGAGGTGCGACTCTGGGCAGACAGCCACATCAGATCGCTCCCCTCCAGCTGTGGCACCAGAACAACAAACACCGACCTCAGATGCAGCTCTTTGCGTCTCCGCCGTGTGAGCGTCTCCGCCATAAACATGAAACGGCAGATTGTGTTTGACCCGCCGCGGCTTGTCCTCGCCTGAGTATAAATCTAGTGAAAGCACCAAATAAAAGCTGCTCATCTCTCACCTCTGATCATCTTGTTCCGCCTCGGCTGACAGATGTTCCTGGAGGAATTTACGGTTTTCCCTGTCAGAATCTTTGCAGCTTTCGTCCGGACCACAACCCCTGCTGAGCGTAATTTGCTGATGCTTTCAGAGCAACGAGGCGACCTACATTAGATAGATATTTCTCTGCAACTTGGCAACTATCCTCAGTAACAATTTCATCCAAACGGCCGGGTTATCTGATGAACTGTTTTTGTCGGTTTACCTGTAAACAGGACATTCCTGCGAAGGAGGCTGGCATACCAAACAATCCGCTCGCTGTAAACAGAGCTTAAATATTTACTCAGACAAGTTGTAATTTGATGGGAGATGAGAGGTAAACAAAACATAGGCGACTTCTGTAATGACAGAATGCAATAATCACAACAGCATGTGATTTAGGAGCTGATTAAAGATAGAAATGAGCTGATCTGACAGTTCAACTACTGTCGCCATCAGGACTGCTGCTAATGTTGGACCTCTTCTCTTTTATGGTGCTGTTGACAAAATGCCTGAAAGGCCTGTTATTACAGCTTCCTGCCATGGCTGCAGTGGAGCTCAGCAACCTGGATGTCTTTTTTTCTACTCATTCCCCCCCCAAAAATCTGTTCTGCCTGCAAAACCACAACTCTGCTGTCATCTATAGAAGTCCAAAAGTGCCAAAATTAAACAAAAACAAAAAAAGATCCTCCTTAACACCAAGGCTTCAACAATGCAAGGTTGACCTGAGTGCTAGAGATCAGAGAAAGTAGAAGGAAAAGAAGAAACAAAAATACAAACACACACAAACACACGCACACACACACACACACACACACACACAAATATCTATCTATATATATATATATGGAAGGGAGCTCAATAAATTTACGAGCATTTAGAGTGTAGAAATGAATAAAAACATTCAAAACATTCTTTAGTTTAATCATTTTAGAGGTAAAATAAATAAGACATACAAAAATAAACTTGTAGAAAAATGAAACGACAAAAATAAAATATGAGATTAAATTTTAAAATAATTAATTAGGAATAATATTGGAGACACTTTTATATCTAAAAATTCATTATAATAAAACATTAGTGGAGAAGAGTGTGAAATATATGTCAAATAAGAGAAAATAACAAAGAATGTTTTTGGAAATAAAAAAAATCTAAAGCATAAAGACAAGTAAACAAAAATACAAACACAAATTGATGAAACATTCAGAATGGCTAATACTCATGTTTTTATTCATTTGCAGGTGTTTTTGCATTAATTGTTTTGCTATCTCTGTATTTATTTTATATTTTTGGCAGTTCTGGGCCTCCATACTCATTGTACATGTGAGCGTTTCCTATGGAGATGCTCAGAGGGAGGGCTGCCTGTTTATGTTGATGCTGAGCAGACAGAAAATAAATGGTGATGATAGTCACTGCTTCAAACAACTTTAAAATAGCCTAATTGCAGGTCAAGCGCAGTTCGGGTCTAAAATAACAATTTTAGACTCGCACTGAAATTTTTATTGTTATTGTTATTTCATAACAGTAGAGAAAATGGTCCCGATGAGTTAAAGTTGCGCATACACCTAATCTGCCAAGTAATTTTTCAAACAACAGCGAAAATCCAACTCTTCAACAGCCGCAACCTGTTGCGCATGAATGTGCACACATGCGTGTTTTCTTAAGAGTGCGGCGGGATTTGAGGGAGATTCAGCTAAATAAAGAAAATCAGTAGGAAAAATGTGTTAAAGACGCGTGCAGCAGTTTTGAACTCAGATTATTTAAAGTAGAATAATCCTCTGCATGAAGCTGAAGTGGAGACAGGAACTCACCGGTGCCGCTTTGTACCTGCCGGCTCCGCGCACCGGAGCACCAAGCATGCTCTGGAAACACTGCAGCGCAAACACGCAGAAGCACACGACCAGAGAAGTCCGCATCCTCACCGCCGTCCGTCCGGAGCCGCGCAGGATGGAGGTGCAGCGGGTGTTTTTGGCGCAGCAGTGTGCGGTGTGCAGTGCCGAGAGTCACACGGCTCCAGGATGTGGGGCGACTTCTCCTTAAATACACTCAGATTTCTTTGTTCCCTGTTTTTTTTTTCCCCATACACTTTTTTTTTGCAGCCCCGGGCTGATAATACCACCCGCTACCATGTGACTCTTAACCGTTTCACTGCCGTGTTCTGCAGCGCAAAAAGTTGAGGGACTTTTCATCCAGAGAAAAAGTAATTTAATACCAATTGGTCAAACAGTTCCTCACATGAAACCCAAACTGTGACGCACAGCCTGACCTGGAAATATCTGGAACAAGAACAAGAAAACAGGCGGCAAACCCCAAAAATGCAGCCAGTTTTATAAACTTTCTGGTGAAAATTCTCATTGCTTTCCAGCACATGTGTCAAACTCACGGCCTGGGGGCCAAATCCGGTCCTCATGAGCTTTTTAAGGCAGAGGTGGGTAGAGTACTAAATATTTTTTTTTTTGTTTGCAATATATTCACATACAGCAGGGGAGGTTTACCTTACTTTGAAATTCAAAAATGCTCTTAAATTACTCAAAAATTCCTGCATTTCATGAATAATCTGTGAGGTTTTTAGGTGTGAATGTTTTATAGATTTTGCAGATTAGCTCAGGTGATATTGAGGTGGAGCAGCATAATGCTCTACTGAGACCATGAGAGGTTTTATTCATCCTGCAGGCAGAGACGTAATTAATTCAGGTTTAATATTACTGATTAATAAACTACTGCAGAGAAAAACTATCAGCTGCACTCAGTCACGATCAGTGGAAATTTGCATGACTTTATTCTCGTAATTCTCTCGTATGACTTATTTTAAATTTGGATGTATATTTTTTCACCTCTTCAGAGAAAATCTACATTAAATTTAAATTTGTGCATCTAATTTTAAGCTTTAAATCTCAGCAGTTATACATCGGATCCTCTTTTCAGCCTAAAATAAAAAACAGTTCAGATCTTTTTCAGACTTTCTCTTCTCTGCTCCATAGTAGTCAGATTCTGTTGCAAGTTTGGCTCTAAATCAAACTGAATTTAACAGACAAATTTTGAAGGCCGATAAATGTGTCTGAAAAGCAGAAGTAACCCGAATGTTAAATAAGATCCTGTCGTTTTGTAGAATCCTACATCTGGACAAAAAATGGAAACATTCGAATAGTTTCAAGGATCATTTACAGTAATTTGGGTCATAATTTGAATTTACATGCTAGTTTAAAACTGTTCCAGTGAAGTTTAATGAGGCAGAACCTGCTGAAGAAAAAGGTGGGAGATATAATTAGCAGCTCTTCCTCTTAAACACCTGTTACTACGAATACAAAAAAGGGAAAAAGACTTTTTGACTCTCAGAAGTAAAGTTGTCAGGTTTATGTGGCACAAAAAAGCAACAATAGCACGAAGGAAACATTTAAACAATACAGAAGCTCCCTGGAAGTTAAACATGTTCTCTGCTGAATTAGCCTTTTATTGATTCAAAAACAGCATTTAGTCTTCTGTTAGCATTTCATCATGACTTTAATTAAAAGTTGTAATATTAATCAGATTTTCCTGCCAGATTTAGTTATTTTTCTTCTGTTGACGCTGTATGAGTGGCATCTTAAGAAAATTAAGTAGCATAAATAAATAAAATTATGGGAATAAAGTAATAAAATTATGGGAATAATGTACTGTGAGAATAAAATTGTACAACAATAAATTATGAGAATAAAGTCGTACAAGAAAAGTCTGAAACATTGTGAAGTAAAAATTGTGTTATTTCTTTTAAGAATTTTATTTATTTCTTTAGTCATTTAACACTAGTATTGTTTAGTCTGTTAAACCGTGCAGGTCAAGGAGTCTTTGAAGAATCAGTTAGATAGGTTTCCTTTTGACTTCTCCTTGGAAAAGTTTCAGTAGGTTGTCAGTAACTAAAATCAGGCGCCAGTGTTTCTTAACAGATAACAATAAACAAGTAATTGTAGTGAGATGGAATAAACCCTAAGGCTTAAAAAATTCCTCCATTAAAAAGTCACAAGCTAAGGCTATGTGCTGAGTGAACGTACAAAGTCTGATAATCTTGTCATGCAAAATTGTTCTATTAGTAAACCTGATTTTTGGAAATGCACCTATTTTTGAATAAAGATGTTTATCATCTGAACAATTAACTTACTCTAAGAATGGATGTTGCATTCTCTCTATACCCTGTTAAGAGTGACTGTGCATTAACCTGTTCGACTGGCTCTGGACCAGGGAGTTGACTTTATCCTCATAACATGACTTCATCTTAACATTATTACAACTTTATCCTCAGAATTGTATTTTTGAAAAGTTGTTTTTCATAGTATGATTCTAATATTCCCTCAAACTGTAAAATAAAGACAATAAAATAACAAAACCTTCATCTCCATCTTTCTAACAGAAATCTGATTGTTTTAGATCAAAAGTGACTGTTTTGTAGAACTACTTTTATTTTGATAAGTAAGATCAGATCATGATGCTGCCACCACCGTGTTTCTCTGCGGTTTTCTTCGGCGAAATGCGGTGTTGCTTTTTGTGCCCAGCTTGTCTTCCACTTCTTGGGATGATAAAATTGCTTGTTTTCAACAGATGACAGCATATCTTTATGCCATGAGTATTTAATCCACATGTGGATGTTTTACTTGGATCAAAATCCTTCTGTACAAAGAATACAAGAGATCGTTGTGACATGCAGAGGACAATCAGCCTTTGGCAGAAATTCAAGCAGCTCCTTCAGTGTCGCTGTCAGCCTTAGAAAAACATCTGGATAATGACTGTTTTCACTTTGCCATAATGAATTTAGTGCTGCAGATTTGTTTTCACACCCTTTTATACCTTTGTCCAATGAGAACCTATTAATTATTTGCTCACTTGCATCCTTCAGCTAAGTAACGGTTTGCAGAGATGTTAGAAATGTCAGGAGCTATGAGGAAAGTTATTTCACTTAAATGAGAGTCAATATTGTTTATATTCGATGTGTATTTAATAAAACTGAATGTTGAAATGGAATCTGAAGGTTTTTGGACAACAGTATTTATCTGTGTATTCAATCAGCTTATTGCACTTTTTTTTTTAAATTTTGGACATTTTTCTCCCAAATATATAAATCACTTTAAAGTGTGTATTTTTAAAGTCTTAAAACCCTGGATTTTTATGTCAATGTAGATGATTCAGACTAATTAAGCAGCATTCAGACCCATTAGACTATAATGGTCTAATTAATAAACTCTCTTTCTCTCTCCAATGAAATGTATACATATGTCTCTTGGGTTGAAACCCTGTTGCACAGCAAAAACACAACATTTTTACAAAGTAGTTTTGTATATTTGAAATGAGACAAAACTAACTTAGAAGTAACTTTTTAGTGATATATATATATAGGAGCATGTTTCCTTCATTTTGTTGAACAGGTTCCACTTCCACTGGCAGATTATTTCACTTATTAAATAGAAAAAATGTTTTGCAATAAAGGAAATAATCTGCCAGAGGAACTAGAACTTTTTCAACAATATTAAGAAAGTATTGACTTAAAACAACCTTATATCTTGCTAAAAAGTTTCTTGTAAGTTATATTTGTATTCCTCCAAGTATAATGTAAACAAGCCCAAATGTGCTTAGTAAGACTTTGTGTTTTTGCTATAAAGTTTGCATGTCTTTTATTTTACGCTGTGACACGTGCATAAATCCAGAATGATGTAGATGTTTTCTTAAGGATTTGGTGGGATTTGTTTCACAGGAGAAGAAGCAGAAAGAAAATGAATCCAGTGCAGCTTCATCCAGGACTGACAGCCTCAGTAAACGACCATTGATATTGCAGCATTGTAGATGTTTAACATTTGTTTAGAGTGAAACAAATAAACGATTCCCTGGAACATGATTTACATGTGGAACTTCCTAATCGCACATGTAAATCAAACTTAATTGAAAGCATCTCAAGTTTGTTGCTACTGGAACATTTTTTCCGCACCGTTTTTGTTCTAACAGAGAATTTTACCTGAACCCCACACTGCAAAAAACACAAAAAGTATTTTTGGTCTAGTTTCCAGTGGAAAATCTTCGTACATTTAAAATAAGACAAAACAAACTCATAAGTAACTTTTCAGATAGATATAGTTGCTTGTTTTAAGGCAATAATTTCTTATACAGTGTTTACAAAAACACTCTTGTTCCACTGGCAGAGTATTTCACTTATAACATTGCAAAACATCTTGTTATAAGTAAATATTTACTTAAACAAGCTCATATTTCTGGCTGAAAAGTTACTTTTAATGTCATTTTTCTTATTTTTGGTGTACTAAGATATTTGCACTAGAAACTGTAGTTACTTTGGAAGATTTAGTGATTTTGCAGTGAAATATGATGCATGGAAACTGCAATAGCTCTGAAGATATGAGGTAAAATCACAATCATGTATCACTCTTTAATTTCCTCTGGGACCTAAGGCTGCGACAGGCTTCACAGGAACAGAGCAATTTGTTTCGTCTCCCAGGGCTGCAGGAGCAACAGACACCATCCTGTCCTTGCATTCCTGCTTTGGAAAATCTTGCAGTTCTTGTTCTCGGCACATATGAGTTCCTCCAAATTTGACGTTGTAGGGACCTACGAAGACTTCTCAGGTGTTCTGCACCTGAGGCAGAAAGAAGTGGCCTATTTGAGTTCTGCTGGAGTCTGAACTGGTTTTTACCAGAACCGTTTCATGATTTGAGACAAACTTCCCTGTGATGCGGTTATAAATCTCAACAAGATGCACAATTTTTATGACTTAAAAATGTAAACACATTTTTCCCACGTTGAAATCTTCTGAAAGGGATACATTTGGAATGTTTATATGTTTTTGGCCTAAAATGAAACTGTACATCAACTCATTAAGTAAGTAAAATATGTTTCTAGAGCAGCACTGAACTATTTTGGAAAATAAAGTTTTAGATTAATGCATTGCCAAAGGCAGAGAAGACAACATAACTAACGGGTTATTTGAAAAATTGATTGTAAATGCATTTGTCACAAGAAAATAAAACATAAATATATCTGCACAGAGTTGAGAAACTTTCTCCAAGTTTCAGGAGTT